AAAAAAAAAAAAAAAAAAAAAAAAAAGAATAGCCCATTTACTTTGGGTTATAATGTATACAAGCCTTGAACAGGATGAGTTGTTGACCCACCTTTACTTAAGACCATTAAGCCACTAAATAGTATTATCTTTGTCTAGTTATATTGGCATTGTTAATACATTTACTTATTAATTGTTTTATAAAATCATTTTGCAAATGTAATTATAAATTAATTTGGACAATAAAATTGAAAGGAATTAGTGATTAGTCTTATAAAATGATGTTGGAATTAGGACAAATGCAGAGTTTTGATATAGAATCGAGACACATGCAGGCACAAGAAATGCATATGATGAAAATCAAAGGGATAAGAAGCCAAGCCATGAATAAAAGACGTGTCCTTCTGCCATTAAAAGTAAAATAAAAAAGGCACAGAAAAGCAGCTTCTGATCCAATCATACCTACTACATACATACATGTAATAATTTAATTTAACTCTGCACTCCCATCATCAGTTTCACCCCCACAACAAAAAACTGAAGAGCGTCAAAACCTCTAGCTCGCAGTTATTCCCCCCGTTAATTAAAAACAAAACTAGACAAAACTGTGATCACAACACGTGACCAAACCCCAAGAACCACCTGAAATGTAGGATGACAGAAGCAGCAGTTAAACCGCATGCATGCATGCAGATGCAGATTCAGTGAATTCTCCTCCCACGTAGCAGCAACAAAACTAGAAGCGGTTGCGGCCATTAACCAAGCCATCCATGATGGCCAAGCAATTGCCACCGAGCTGAAACACGGTCAAGGAGTCGTGAGCGAAGGGATTTTCAACGCCGGGAGATTCAGCGAAGGCGTCCTCGCACGAGGATTGGTAGGAGATAACGGAGTTGAACTTGTAGTAAGCATCGACCACGTTCTGTCGGCTCAAAAGCTCCAAGGACTCCTTGGTGGTGTCGACGATGCTCTCGTACTGCGACTTGCATATGTCGAGGGCGTCGAGGGCGTTTTTGTCGGTGGCGGGGTTGACGAGGGAATTGGCGATGACGGAAGCCACCTTGAGGGTCTGGTTGAGGGTGGCTTGGATTTCGGTCTCGAGGGCCTTGATGGGGTCGAAGGTTCCGTGGAACAATGGGGCGATGGTGTCGGCGCAGAGAGTGGGGTTTTCTGTGCCTTGGCAAAACTCTATGAGCTCGGGCTGGAAGATATTTTGGGAGGCTTTTAGGGCTTTGTCGAAGATGTGTTGTGATGGGGAGGAAGAGGGAGAGGGAGAGGGTGCGATGAGGGAGAATAGGGGCATGGCGTTGGTGGATATGAGGAGGGTAGATAGTGACACGAATAGGAGAAGGTTTTTGTTGAAACCCATTGTCCCTGCTGCTATGGTATTCTCTTCTCTCTTTATTCTTAATTTATTAATTGGTGGAGCCGGAGCGAGAGGAGGAGAATACTTGTTATTGCGGTGTAGCAGAGACAATGAGAAACACTTCACATCGAAATGAGAAGGGGGAGGGGGGGTTTTATATGCCACCCTGCCTCCTCAAAATAACTGTTGCAGATCAATTCGGAAGCCTTTTGCGGTGTTTCTGAGAGAACTCAGAACTCTATACCGCACGTACGTGCGCTTCCTGCGGAAGGTTACGTAATTAGAGAATCGCAAGTTGACTCAATCTCTCATGTCACATTGCTCAATTACGTACAAGTATTAGCATGCAATTCTATACTTAATTTCATTATTCACTAATAAGAATGGCTTATATACTTGTTAATAAGTCACACTTAAAAAATAACAGTTAATACATTTAAAATAGGTTAACAATTCTTATATTTAAGACAAGAATACTTTCATACTTTCTAATGTAAAAAACTGGAGGTAGTGTTATATTAAGATGGACATAAATCTTATTATATTTGGATAATTTCACATTATAAGAAAAAATATAAAATAAAATAAAAAAACTAATAGACATTAGATATAGGTTGTTAGAATTTAATTAAAATACGTCAATAGTATAGATATATTTATATTTTCATCTAAGTATATTTTTTTTAAGCTGAATGCATTAAAATTAAATTAAAATACTCATCTTTGTATATTTGATTATATATAAGAAAAATAAATAAAATGATTTAAGGATAATAAAAAAATAGTTGATATCATTTAATTTTACCATTTATAAAACAACCTATTTTACTAAATTTATTTTTGTTTGGACATGATACAAAGAATAAAAAAGAACTATTAAAAATACGGTTTCGATTAAATAAGTGATATTTTAAAATTATGTGCAAAATTAGTCTGAGACTTCCTTATTATATATAAAAGTATTATACACATTTAATAATTTTTTGCTTATATATTTGTTATCAGTGGAAGTATTTATTTATTAGTATAGTACCTGCAATCATTCGTATAAGAAACCAATAATTAATTTATTCAAATCAATAAAAGTAGTTAAATAATTAATTATAATTAATAATATCATAATTCTAAATTTTATTTCAAATATTCTTTAAATTAAATGGTTATATTTAATGATATTTTACCTAAATCAAGATATAATTTTTTTCACCAGTGTAACATGTATTATTAATTAACTAATAAACCTATTTTTTATCCAACTAATAAATGTATCTACTGGCCCTAGTGATGAGTAGGTGTCTCATTAAAGCTTTCTACACAAAGTTATTGATATTTTAAAATTTTCAAGTCTTATTATTATTATCATTATTATTATTTTTACATAAAACCTCTACTAGTAGTATTTAACAATCACATCTCACTTGGTGTAAAAAAAAAAAATCACACCTCACTCCACAATTACTTCTATATTGGAATTAAATAAATTTATACATAATATATTAAATATTTATTAAGTTGTGTACAATAACCTTAAATATCAATAGATGGATAAAAAAAATATATCAATAGTTTTCTTAGATCGGATGTAGTAGTAGATTTCAGAATAAATGAATAATATGTCCTTAAAAATGAATAACATAAAAATAGAAATGAATACATTTTTAAAGTGAGATTATGTATTTTTATTTTTTATAATTAGGGCAAAAAAACTCATTTATTTCTTATGTGAAGAGTTATTTAATACAAGTTATTTTTCATACCACAAACCAATATGTATATATCATTAAATTTTGCTAGGGAATCTACTTTAATAAGTTGAACAAGGTACCTAAATTATTGTAAACTCTTTTAATATCAAATTCAATAATTCTTATGGTTTAAAATAAATAAATAAATTGTGGTCTACATATGTGAGATGTTTTTAATTCAGACGAAGCTTCTAGGTTTCGACTTTCGACAATTAAGTTACAGCAAAACTAAACAAACAAACAAAAAAGCCCGGATATTGCTTTCCGATTACAATTGAATTTCAATTTAATAATATGCGTAGATAACATTTATTATTAATATAAAATTTTAATTTTAATTGAAATACAACACTAAAACATCTATCAAAATTTTGTCCTCAGAGTAAATAAAACGTAGTAGTTTTGCCCCTACCAAAAAACGGAAGACACAAAAGTTATATATTTTTTTTAAGAGTAAATATTCTTTGTTTTTTATTATTATAAAATTAAAATTATTATTTTTAGTTCCTATTTTTATATGATTATTTTTAACTACTTTTTATTTATTAAAAAATTAAGTAATTATTTTAAGTCTATAACCATTACTGATATCATATTGATATTTAACACTTAAAAAATATTATAGATCTTTAAGATAAATGTTATTTATTTATCTTAAAATGACTATTAGAAATTAAAAATAATTAGTTTAGATTTAAAAAAGATTAAAATTAAAGAAAAATATTTTTCAAGGATCAAAATCAAAATTTATTCATTTTACAATGACAAAAAATAATATTTATATATTTTAGAAGAATCAAAACAAAGAAAAAAATTTAGAGGATCAAAATCAAAATTGTCAATTTTATAGGGACTAAAATTTATTTAAGCCTTTTTTAATTTATTTTTAAAAAAATAATAATCAGACTTGACTTTGGTGGGGGAAATTTAGAGCAGTCACAGAAACAACCTACAAAGCAAATGTAGAAAACTAGTTTGCCACGCTGGCACCCTGCATATTATTTTTGTCCCATCTTTATTTGTAGATTTTATGAATCAAATCCGGCATCAAAATATTTACAACAATTCACACGCATTATTTAACCAACAGAAATAGACTTTTAGTTCTTAATTTTATTTCTAATCATAGAAAACATTAAAAAAAAATACACAGTAATACAATTAATCTTAAATAAGACAAAGAATATTATAGAAACAAGACAAAAAAATGTATAACAATAATAGTTTATCAATTATGTTATATTATATTTTTTAAAACACAAAATAAACAAACAGGATCCTGGGTTGGATTACCGTTAAAGATGGCAAAAGCAAGCACAAAGAATCCTCCTGTCTACAAGTAATCAATTAGCACACAATCGAAGAATACAGGTGATCTCAAAAGTTTATAAATAAAACTAGTGAGCCGTTTGGCAAATTTTGTTCTATTTATACAAGCTACTACCCTCCTAATCATCTTTTAAAATTTTAATAACTAATCTACTACTTATTACAGTCATATTGCCCCCACCCACTCACCAACAAAATGCTCAAATAAATCTTTTTGGAAAATTCCATGGCTTATGATTGAAAGTGGTTCAAAATTCAAATCATGAGGTTAAAAACTTCTGATTCAAAGCTTGAAAGTGCCTCCAAAAAGAATGGGGAAAAATAAAACCATTATGAATGGCTCACGTTTTCTCAGGATTCATCGTCCTTCACAAAGATCCTCAGAGAAAACCACAGTCCTAGAAATGTTGTCATTGTCAAAGGCACTTAGACCAGAGTAAGGACCCGAAGAGAACATTGAAGATGTCCCATCAAATTCAAAAGTGCTAGAGGACTGTCTCAGGTTGGGTCGTGTATTGGATGAGGCTGACACAGAATCATGGTATTCTGTGATGCGCTGCACCATTTTAAGTGACTGCACCACTTCACCCATTGTGGGTCTTTGATTTGCTTCGGGAGCAACACAGGCTGCAGCAATAGTGCAAACACGTACAAAATCTTCCACCGGATACTTTCCCCCAAGTTTTGGATCAGCAATCTCTTCCAGCCGTTCCTTATCTCTAAGGATTGGCCTAGCCTGAAAGGAAAAATGAACTAGCTGACCCAGTGTAAAAATTTCAAAGGGTTGATTTAAATTCCATTCTCAAGATTCTTAGGGTTTTGTTTGGTAAAGGGGAAGGGGAGGAGAAGAGTAAGGAAGTGTAGGGAAGTGGTTGGAAAAATTGTGTTTAGTAAAAGAGAATCAAAGGGAAATCGAGGAAAGTTTTGATTAGTGTGTGGAAATTGTATTTATTATATATATATATATATATATATTAATTTTAAAAAAAATAATAATAATAAATAATAAATAATTTAATTTTATGATAATAATAATAAATAATTTT